GTGTTTTGTATTATCGTTTATTAAAAATATTATTATATTAAATACTTACTATTGTTTAATTTACATACAACAATAAATGATAATTTTTGTATTATTTAAAAAATAAATATAATTATTTAAAAGTTGCTGGGAATAACTCTACCTAGATTTATAAATAAATAAAGTTAGATCTCATTAAACATACTTTGCTCAAGGAAGCCCGTACTATTCTTTGTTTAATAACCATAATAATTATAATTTCAATGTAAAGAAACAAACTTAGCATAAATTAGAGAGATATTTGTATGGCCATGGTAATTATGCGCATTCCGTGGCATTGTTTGCACAGAGGATAAGACACTTGCGTGTCTTTTGTCACGTACGCACAGGCCATATCAATATTTGGTTAATATTCTAAGATATGCGACAGCTGCAACTAGAGCTGGACCTGGGCCTGGGCCGAGCGGCAGGTAAAAGGTCACTGAGCTGCCATTACCTGGGCCGTACCCTGGGCCATTCCCTGCCCAGCTGATATCGTGGAAAAAATATGTGAGTAAAAACCCGTTTGACCCTGGCAAAGTAAGTGAGTGACTGACAAGCGGCAAGTGCTGCAATTGCCAAGAATCCAAGTGAAATAACCGGACGGCGGCTAAAGCGGAACGTGACTTGTTGCTGCTCTGGCCCCGGCCTGTCCAACAATCACCGAAAAAGGTATATTAAAGGTAACAACGGTAGAACGGCAGCAGCAGCAGCAAACTGCAGCCAACTGGGCTCTAATGCAACTGTTAACTGTTAGCTGGAGACTGTGTGAGGTTGCCACAGAACAAACTCCAGTTTGCCAGCTCACTCGACTCGCCTTCGAATTGCCAATGCCGCCGACGTCCTTCAATTCAAAACTCGTACTCCCATAACACAGCTATGCCCTGAGCACAAAAGCAACAACAACTGAAACAAAACTGAAAAACACCTTTAAGCACTGCGAGCTGCCAGCTAAACCGAATGTTAACAGAAAAAATAAGTACAAAACAATTTTCGCGTCGAAGGTTAGCGGCAAAGTCGACGCCAAAATAAAGAAAGATACAACAAAAAAAAAAAAAAAGCCAACTTCATTGCTGTCTGTGCAGCGAGGCATGAGGCTAAAAAGTAATATTTATAATTATTATCTTTACTTCTTTTTAATGCCCGCAGATAAAGCTGATTAAGTCTTGCGGTTAGCTAACCGGTAGTCTTTTTCTCTCTAGCAGCAAATTTGGCCAAAAGCAACCAGTTAACACGTCATTTTGATTGACGCAAATTTGTGTCCGATAAATATCGATCATATTAAGTACTGCTGCATATATGTATTAAATTTAAATATTTATTAAATAACTAAATTTTTCATAATTTTAATATTTTTATAATTTTTTATATTTTGCATACAGTTTTTTAATGCTTAGCTAACAGCTAAGCTAAAGACCGCTATTAAAACTCCCAGTTTAACAACGACAAGAATTTATTACATAATGTATTTTATAATGTCTATTTTTTCTTTTAATTATAATCTTTTTTTTATAGTTGTCAGTCAGCTAAGTTAAGTTGTTTAAGAAGTGCGCGCATTTGAGCAGATATGTTTATATATTCATATACATATGTACATGGTTTTCTCTAATTCCTTTATATTTATATCCAGCAATATATTTTAAACTAATTTGTTCATAATTTGTTGTTATGGCTAAACTCAAGGTCAATAAATTAAAACGGATGAGCAAAAAAAATTAATAATGAAAAATATTTTGTAGCTTGCCATACCTATGCCTCTTTTTTTAATAATTTAAAAATATTACTATTAATTTTATTTTTAAATTTGGCAAAATGCTATTAAAAGGGA